TGTTATTGATGTTCGTTTGGAATTCCGAGACTGGGAGTAGCTCCGTATGGTGATTCTAGATTTGGGAGCGCGATCGGAAGTGAATTCGGAGGTCCGTAGGTCATTTTGGAGCCGTTTGGCTAAATATAGAAATTTGAAGGTTTTTGAGAAAATTTGACCGGAAGTGGAAATTTTGATATCGGAGTCGAAATGTGAATTTTATGGTTCGGATAGCTTTGTTAGGTGATTTCGGACTTAGGAGTGTGTACGGAATATTTTTGTGATGATCGGTGTAGAATTAAGCTTGAATCGGCAAAGTTAGTATTTTGGCGAATTCCGGTTGATAGGTGAGATTTTGATTCGAGGGTCGGAATGGAATTCCGAGAGTTGTTGTAGCTTTGTTATGTCATTTGGGACTTGTCTGCAAAATTTGAGGTCATTCGGACTAGTTTTGACGTGTTTCGGCATCGGATGCGGAAGTTAGAAGTTTCAAAGTTCATAGGTTTGAATCCGATGCGAATTTGGTGTTATGATATTGTTTTGAGCGTTACGAAGGTTGAAACAAGTTTGAACGATGTTATGGGATATGTTGGCATGATTGGTTGAGGTCCCACTGGCCTCGGGTGAGTTTTGGGTGGTTAAACGGACTATTTCATCTTTGAAAAAAATTGCAGAAATTTTTAGGTTTCTGCTGTGCCCAGAAAATTTCAGGCGCGAGGTGTCCAGTTTGGAAGCTCATATCTTGTAATCTATAAGAAATCAGAAAACTTACAAAACGCGAAAGTTGTAACCCTTACATTCTAGTTTTCAGAAAGTTAAACCACATGTGATTTGGATATTATCTCAGAAAGTTATGATGGATCGAAAATGGCTGGTAGAGGGATTTCGACAGAATTTACGGATGCGTTTTGAAGCTCATATCTCGGGATATATAAAGAGTTATATGGTGTAAAACCTATCAAATTAAAGATATTCGAGTCTATTTTCTAAATATTCAAATCATTTGTCATTTGGATATTTATACAAGACGTTATGGGTGTTTAAGCAGAAGGTGTCCGACAAGGAAAATTTTTAATAGGATGTACAACTTGTATAGCACAAGTGCAAGATACAACTCGACGAAGCACGAGCAGATTCTTTAAAACACGGATTTGGCTTATTTCTTTCATTTGGCTTGGATTATTTTGGAGAGAATTTCAAGGGGGATTTCATCAAGCATCAAAGGTGAGTTGTTTCTACTTATTTCCAAGTTAAATACATGGATTAGAGCTGAAAACTCAAGTAATTTATGGACAAAAAAGGTGGTTTAGGGCTTAAAACTTAAGAGAATTAAATGGAGATTTGAGGGGTCATTTGAACTCCGATTTTGGTAAATTTGATATGTACGGACTCGTGGCGAGACGAGGAATCCGGTGATGTGAATTTTGTAATTTTTCGAGAAGTGGGCCCGAGGCTTGGGTTTTGCCAACTTCGTGATTTTTAGCGTTTTTCGAGTATTTTCGATTGAGTATTGTTCCCTTAGTATATTGTGATGTATTCGCTCTGATTTTGGTTAGATTCGATGCCCGTGGAGGCCGATTTGATGGGCAAAGGCGTCGCAAGCTATAGATTTCACCGGTTCGAGTTGAGTAATGATTTTAAATGATGCACTGAGGGTTTGAAACCCCAGATTTCACAACATACTGCTATGTTGAGATGAGACACGCATTGTATGACGAGCGCGGGGTCATTTATTATTGACGATCGTGACTTGGTCCATCCCAGTTGATATTTTTACCGCGTAATTGATAAAGATTTATTGTTTTTCACTATGACTGGGGCTTATTGCCATATTTGGGCTTCGTGCCAATTATCTGAAATCTTTTGTGAATTTACATCACTATTTTTCTCATGAATTGAAATATTATTTGAACTCAGTCCAATAGAATTTTATTATTTTGTGAACTCAGCTACATTTATACTCAATCGAGATTTAATGATATTTATAATGCTGTTGAGCTGAGCACTATTATTTTACTCATGCCCAAGAGGCTTATGATTATTTTCTGGACTGATCGAGGTCGAAGGCCATACGTGAGGATATGTTGAGTGATGTGAGGAGGCTTTCAGGCCTCGAGTGTTATATGAGGAGGCTTTCAGGCCTCGTGTGTGATGTGTGAAGGCTTTCAGGCCTATTGATATTGCGCTTGGGCTGTAGGAGCCCCTCCGGAGTCTGTACACACCCCCAGTGAGCGCAGGGTACCCAGGTGAGTTGGGAGTGGGCCCGAGAGGCCGTTTCTTGTGTGTGGTGAGTTGGGAGTGAGCCCGAGGGGCTGATGTTGTGTGCTGGTGAGTTGGGAGTGAGCCCGAGGGGCTGATACTATACTGAGATTTACATATTGAGCCCGAGGGGCAAGCTTTTGATTTATCCTTACTGTGGAAATTATTTGTCTTTACTGTTTTAAAAGAAGAATTATCTGATACTCACTATTTTACTGTATAACTGATTTTACTGCTTGGGATAGCGCTATATTGTGCCGTTATGAGATTTCATGTTTTCAGTCGTTATTTATTTTTATTACTCACTAGGTTGGAGTACTCACATTACTCCCTGCACCATGTGTGTAGATACAGGCAGAGCTGAGTTCGCTCATGAGCGCTGATTCTTTCCAGACCAGGCGGTGACTAGGAGTAACGAGGTAGCTGTTGACGTCCGCAGCCCCGTTTTCTCCCTTATCTTTGTTATTTATGATAATTCCAGACTTTGTAAAATATTAGTAAACTCTGTAGTAGCTCATGACTTGTGACACCCCGATTTCGGGCTGAGTTGGGAGGGTTTTCCTTGTTCTATCACGTTTATTTCGCATTTAAGATTATATTGCCCATGATTTAGACTTATTCCTGCTAAGTAATTATAAAGAGATGTACTGTTTTGTTGATTGGCTGGCCTTGTCCTCACGAGAGGCGCCATCACGATCGGGTTGGAATTTTGGATCGTGACACTAAGTTTGGATATGCAGCCCCAAACCTAGCATAAATATGAATAAGAAATATGAAATCAAGACAAAATTAGCATAACTGTAATAAACAGTTGGTGTATTTGCAATAAAGTATATTTTTTAAATAATTAAAATGCCTTTAATTTAATTTAATTAATTAATTTTTTTTATTTTCACTATAACAATTATAAAATTGACGATATTTTTTAATCAACAACCATAATACTGGTCATTATAAATGGAAATAATTTGATTTAACTGTTGATAAACATAATAAAATTTTAATTAGTAGTTTTTGTTTGTCAACTAAAAATTAATCTTATGGTATTTTGGTAACATATAAAATTTAAAGTGAAAATAAATTGACAACAATTGAAGAGCGGCAAGTTGTATTTTAGTATTTTCGGTTTTATTCTATTTCAAAGTTGTATGAAAAAGTAGCGGCAATTTTCCCTCCTTTTCTTTTTTGTGTTCCCAAGTCCCTCTTTTTAGTTGAGAAGTGCCGCCTCCGTTTTCTCAATTCTCCTCCATTCCTCTCTTAATTCTTTGTGACGTTCATTTCTCCATCAAATTATTGCACCAGTTAAATCTACTATATTGCTTCCATTAATATTTTATTTCTTTCTCTTTCACACACATAGATCCTCTTATTCAATAATGCTTAATTATCTCTAAAATCTTTTATTGATTTAATAACATAAAAGATCAAATCCGCATGATGGGCATTTTAAGACGCAAAGCCACTTCTGACGCCTCCTTTGCTTTGATACAAATCCTCAAGCTAAGTTAAGAAATATTATTTGTACTTCAATTTGTTTTTCTGTTGTGTCTCTCATACAGAATTCTTTTTCTTTCAGTTGTAGGGCAATAAAAATTTGGGTTTCTCCAGATGACATATTATGTGTATGTATTTGTGGGTTCTTATTGATTTAATTTTATTATAGAGGTATGAAGAAATTTGTCTATTATTCTTTATTTTTTGAGAGATTAAATACTCTTAATTTTATATCTCTTCTTCTTAATTCTTGTGGTTATTTGCAGTCAAAGAAGAATTAATATTTATGGTCTAACTTCGAGTAAGCATCTTTCTACCATTACTAATTTGTCATTCTATTATTTGCTTCACTAATTAAAATATGATATGTCATTTTTGGCTAAATCTTGTTCATCAAAAAGTATGTACTAAAATTGTTTTTTTCTTCAGTGGGTACATGAAAGTGTAAATTTATTCAAGAGCAACTTTACCAGACGAGTGGTTACATTAGTGTTTGAGGAAGTAGTTACTAAAATTATTTGTATTTCGATTCGACGTCATGTTGTTGAATAAATTTTATTTTATTTCGGTATTTTAGTTTACGGAGTTTGTAATGAATATTATCTCAATGTAGTATTAGTTCTTAATTATGTGATCGTTGGTGAAAATTTTTGTTGTTACCTTCCATTTTTACTATGTTATTTCCATTTAGTAAATGATAAATTCTGGAATTAATGGGAAATTAGATAAATACTACTTATAAATAGTAGCACTGCGGATTTTAATGTTATCAAATATTCATCAAAATTTAGTGACAAAAATATTATTTGTCCGAGAATCATCTTTTTAGTAATTTATATTTTATGATTATTTTAATTTTAAATAATTTTGTAAAAAAATATTATTTTTAGTGACGACATAATAGTTTTCAACTACAAATTGTAAATTATTCTTGTAAAGGCAAAGCTATCACTATTTTATATATTTAGGGACGAAATATCTTTTGTACATAAAAGGTAGTCTTTAGTGACAAAATAACGTCGATTTAACTACGAAATATATATAACTTTAGAGACATTTGATATTGTCGCTAATTAAACCAAATAGTTAGTGACAAGGTAGTTTCGTCGGCATTGATAATATTTTTAGTGACAAAAGCACGCTATTAACGACAAATATTTTATACTTTTTTTTACGAACAGGTTCGTCACAAATACTAGGCATTTGGGAACGAAAAAAATTTTCGTCCCTCATATAACTTGATTTAGTGACGAACCACCAAATTGTCTTTGTATACTTTTGGCGACGATGTTTTTGGGATGAATAATTGACGAATTATTTTTTGTCTCAAAAGATCTTTTGTGACAAAATATGACTTTTAAATGACAAAATAGTTCGTCATTGATAATCAAATTTGTTATAGTGATACCACACATAAATTTTATATATATACATCATAATATGTAAATAAACAAAATATACCATACATATTTTTATAAATGTGTATTATACTTTATATATACCACTATTAATAACTTATCACAACAACAACAACAACAACAACAACGACCTAGTATAATCCCACAAGTGGGGTCTGAGGAGGGTAATATGTACGCAGACCTTACCCCTACCCCGAGGGGCAGAGAGGCTGTTTCCAGGAGACCCTCGACTATAGAAAGCAACAAGAGACGATATATTAGTACCACCAATAGACTCATAGTAAAATAACAGCAATATAAGAGATACGAAATAGATGGATGGTGTAGTAAAAACCAGCAGATAAAGCCCTGCATCAGTAGACGACCAATAGCATCCTAAGACTAACTCCTAACTGGCTAGTCTCACTCTATTGTGCTGTTGAAATATTCACAACTTTCCTCTAACCTACAACCTTAATGCTTGACCTCCACAATTCCCTGTCAAGGGCCATATCCTCAGTAATCCTAAGTCGCACCATGTCCTATCTGATCACCTCTCCCTAATACTTCTTAGGTCGCCCTCTACCTCTCATCGTGCCCACCACAGCCAATCGCTCACACCTCCTCACCGGTGCATCAGTGCTCATCCTCTGAATGTGCCTGAACTATCTGAGTCTTGCTTCCCGCATCTTGTCCTCCATGGGGGCCACGCCCACCTTCCCTCGAATATCTTCATTCCTAATCTTATCCATCCTTGTCTGCCCGCACATCCACCTCAACATCCTCATCTCTGCTACTTTCATCTTCTGGATGTGTTAGTAACAATGGCACTTTCTTTTCACACAGGACTCCCGACGCTAACCTCCACTTCATCTACCCCACCCCTATACGGTGTGTGACATCCTCGTCGATCTCCCCTATCCCCTGGATAACCGATCCAAGGTACTTGAAACTACCCCTCTTGGGAATGACTTCAGAGTCAAGCCTCACTTCTACTCCTGCTTCCATCGGCTCAACCCCAAATTTGTACTCGAGGTATTTCGTCTTCGTCCTGCTCAAGTTGAAACCTTTAGACTCAAGAGCATGTCTCCAAACCTCTAGCCTCTCATTGACACCGCCTCGTGTCTCGTCAATTAGAATAATGCCATCACAAATAGCATGCACCATGGCACCTCCCCTTGAATATGATGAGTTAGTGTATCCATCACCAGGGCAAATAGGAATGGGCTGAGCGCAGACCCTTGGTGCAACCCCGTAACAACTAGAAAATGCTCGGAGTCGCCTCCTACTGTCCTAACCCCAGTCTTAGATCCAGCATACATGTCTTTAATCACCCTAATGTAGGCAACCGGGTCCCCTTTATCCTATAAGCAGCTCCACAAGACCTCTCTAGGAACCCTGTCGTACGTTTTCTCCAGATCAATAAACATCATATGGAGATCCTTCTTCCTATCCCTGTATTGTTTCACCATCCTCCTAATAAGGTGGATAGTTTCTGTGGTACATCGCCTTCGCACTCTCATTTCTACCACTCTCTCCCAAACTTTCATGGTATGACTCAATAATTTGACACCCCTATAGTTGTTACAGTACTGGACATCACCTTTTTTCTTATACAATGGAATCATTGTACTCCATCTCCACTCTTCAGGCATCCTATTAGTCTTGAATATAATATTAAACAATCCCGTAAGCCATTCCAAGCCTGCTTTACCCATACACCTCCAAAGTTCAATCGGAATTTCATCTAGACCGGTAGCTCTGCCCCTTCTCATCTTACGCATTGCCTCCATGACCTCATCGATCTAAATGTCCCTACAATTACTTAATTCATGGGGACTGTCAGCAATCCTCAATTCCCCTAGTACAATATCCTGATCCCCTTCTTCACTTAAAAGTTTATGAAAGTAGGTTTGTCACCTTGATCGCAGCCGACTCCACACTACTAAAAAGTAGGAAGAGAGGGTTGCAATAGCTTTTACCCAATTTGTGGGCCGGGATCGATTTTCACAGAGAGCTAGGAATGGAGTCGAGTATCTATTTAGGTTGGAATTGCGTATTTGTTCCAAATATCACTTCTAATCATTTTTGGGTTTTCTTTATATTCTACTATTATCAAACTACAAATTACAATTGCTACTACATTAACTACGAGTAAATTGCTACAAGTTGTATCTAATAGTTTAAAAAGGCACTAGGGTAGTGGCATCCTCCTAGGTGGCCAATTGACGGGTAATTGAACCTAAGGCATGATTGACATGACTGGGGAATATGCTATAACCGTTGCGCAATTGTACCCACTCTCACACCTCTCGGTAGAGAGAGTGATTTTGCCCAATTGACTTTCTCAAGACCAATAGGGTAGGCAAATTTGCTCAAGCAACTGGGGTTCAAGTCGGGTATTACTCTCTCGAGGTTTAACCCTTTAATTGAGACTGTCAATTCTCTTTAGTCCATCCCAATTCCTTGTTGGGTCCATTTCAGAGACTTAGGCTGTCTTTCTCAAGAAGAACCCAAGTCAACTTAGCACAAACTAGTGTTTGCAATCACTAATTCATAGATTAAACCATGAAATTGACCCAAATAACAAACACCCATAGTCAATATAACCTTAAATCATAACACCCATCAATTACTCACACTAGGGTTGAGCCACAACCCTAGATAATGGGTCTAGCTACTCATGCTTGAAGAGAAAAACAAAGAAATAGATGAAGATAAAGACATATTAATTAATTGCTAAGGTAAATACAAAGATTCAATGATAAAAACTAAGTAAAAATGCCCAAAATGGCTAAGAAAAGTCTTCTCACGAGTGCAGCTAACGTCTGATAATATCTGATACCCTAAAAATGGAAAAAGGTTCTATTAATACTAAGCTAGAAAAACTGGACAAAAATGCCCCTACGGGGTCAGTGCGGACCACACAAAATGGTGTGTGACCGCACTAGGCTCTTGACTTTGCAAATTCAACTCTCTGAACCCAGGCTCCGCGGACCGCACAAAATGGACTGCAGCCACGGAGGCATCTAGTGCGGTCCGCCCAAACATGACTGCGGACCGCACAGGCTTGATCTTCAGAACTTGGCATCTCTCTGAACTTTGGTTCTGCGGACTGCACAGACTGGTAGTGCGGCCGCGGTGCCTTCAGTACGGGTCGCACAATATCTACTGCGGCCGCACTGCTTTAATGCTTGAAAAACCAACTCTCTGAATCTCCCTAGTGCGGACCGCACAAAGTGTAGTGCGGCCGCACTAGGCTTGTTTCTCTAGAGTTTTCTCTTGTCTTTGGTACTTGTGCCGGTTTCACTCCTTTTGAGCCGATCTTTAACATCTCTTCACTTTGTTGATCAAACCTGCAATCAAGCACAACTTATGAGCCTTTTGGGACTATTTTGTATGAATTTATAATCAAAACATAAGCAAGAAGGATCATGAAATGCGTCAAAATCTCTAGTTATCAACTCCCTAAAACTTAAGCTTTTGCTTGTCCTCAAGCAAACAAAATAAGACCCACCCCTTAAGGGAAAATCCAAGAATTTTCAGCTATCCTAAAGTAACCTCAACTAGCATCAATTGGGACTTAAAATTGCCCTCAATACAAATGAATCATTAACAACATTTAACTTTTTAAAAACCATGGATCAAGTGTGACACAAGAGCATTAAGAGTTGACTCAAAACATCAAAGAACTCTCTCAATTTCTTTGGTCATTATGGAACCCAAACTCACACATCCTCAACTCTCCCTACGCAAACCTCACCTTTTTGAATATTAGCACACAAACCGAGGTTAAAGGAAATTCACTCATCTCTCTCAAGAAAAAGTCGCAAGTCCGGCTCTAAGTACCATATGCTTGACCCTTATGTAAGTATCCACTAACGTAAGCTTCATTCAACTCAAGATCCTATAGGGCTTTTGTGAAGTCATTATGAAGGCTTTTGGTTCAGGGTAGGAAATGTTTTGATTTAAGTGGGTTTCATCTCCCTTTAAGCACTTCTTTTGATTCATTTGGCACATATTTTCTTGACTCTTTGAGTCATCTCACTTCTTTCTAAGGGGTTAGGGAGACACGTTGTCACTCTTTCTTATTCAATTCAAACTGTTTCTCCTTTTCACCTTCCACATCTTTCATTCTTTTGCTTTTCTTGAATCCCTTTTTATTCTTTTTCACATTGAGCATTCTTTTTGTCTTTTGCTTTTATTTCTTTTTCATTGCCTTTCCTTTTTTT